TGTCGAACAAGTCGTAATTAATGTTGTAGAGTTGAGTCTCTCTGACCACAAAGGAGTTATAGTAAATATACCAATAAAAGAAAGAAACATACTCGTGCGTAATACGTGGATTCTAGAAAAAAGAATCTTTAGTGAAAAAAATATCCAACATTTCAAAGCTAAATTAAGAGAAGTAAACTTTAGCAAAATAATTACTATTGATAAAAACATTAATGAAAATTATAACTCATTTTGTAATAAAATTAATCATATATTAAATGAAACTATACCAAAAATTCTCATAAAAATAAGAAGCATAAAGAAAAAGCCATGGTTAACCAATGGAATCAAAACATCGTGCAAAAATAAAAGACTCTTAAAAAAAATATTATCTCAAACAAAAAAATCCAGTACTAAACAAGTATTATAAAAATTACTCAAAAATACTTAAAAAAACTGTAAATATTTCAAAAAAAGAACTATAATATTAAAAGAATAAAGAATTCTGATAATGTAATAAAATCAATGTGGAATGTTGTAAAGGAACAAACTAATAAGCTTACACAAAATAAAAAGAACATAGAACTGAATGTCCAAAATAGTATCACTGCGGACCCTGTTCAAATAGTTGAGTGTTTCAATAATTTCTTTTTGTCGGTTGGTAATGATAACAATACTTTTGGCACAACAGGTGCAATCGTTCAGCCTGTCCTTCATCCCGTAAAGAATTCATTCTTTTTACAACCCGCTACTAATCAAGAAATTATAAAATGTATACGTAATTTAAAAAACAAGCGTAGCTTCGGTCATGATGACTTACCGCCTTGTCTAATTAGGCAATGCGCCGAAGAACTAGCCCCAATTATGACATTCCTGATAAATCAATCGTTTACAGAAAGTAAAGTTCCAGACCAACTAAAAATTTCAATAATTAAACCACTCTATAAAAAAAGGCTCTAAAACTGACTGTAACAACTATCGCCCTATTGCTATTCTTCCAACGTTTTCAAAAATATTTGAATCCGTTATGGCTAATAGACTATACTGTTACTGCGAAAAGTTCAATATATTAAATGACAATCAATATGGCTTTCGCAAAAACAGAACAACAACTACAGCAGTATACAAATATGTCAATGAAATATTAAATTTATTTAATAAAAAGAAATACGCGATCGGTATTTTACTGGACATGACCAAAGCCTATGATCGAGTTCGATTTGACATACTTTTACGGAAGTTACACGGAATAGGAGTAAGAGGCCCAACATACAACTGGTTCGAATCATACCTGACCAATTGAAAGCAGTGTGTAGAGATAGAACACCATAACCTAGCCAGTGGAAATATGATTAAAGTCAGGTCTCAATTTGCACCGGTCACTAAATCAATACCACAGGGTAGTGTTCTCGGTTGTTTATTATTTTTAATTTATATTAATGATTTGCCGAAAATAGTCAAAGCCCCCTGTACCTTGTTTGCCGACGATCTTTCTGTAGTCATACCTTTCGACAATAATACTAACAACAATCTTAACAACTGTCTAGATAGTGTACTTACAGATATCTCTAAATGGTTAAAAAATCACAATCTCGTCATAAATTACACAAAAACTAAGATAATACAATTTAAGCCGTATCAAAAATGCCCCCTATCTATAAATTATTCTTACAACGATATTAAACTAGAATGTGTTGATTCATATACATTATTAGGTATAAACATAGATTCAGGTATAAATTGGAAAGAACACATAAAGAAAGTATCATCTAAACTTTCCCGTTTCTCGTATGCACTATACGAACTTAAAAAAAGTTACAGATTCAAGAACAGCCACGTGTGCATACTATGCTTATGCCCATGCGTGGCTCAAGTACGGCATTTTACTGTGGGGAAACAGCACAGACGTAAATAAATTGTTCATTTTACAAAAAAAATGTATCCGAATAATTACAAACATAGACAGCACTGACAGCTGTAAACCATACTTTATTTCATTAAAAATATTAACAATTACATCTATATATATACTAGAAGTATGCACATTTGTTAAAAAGAATATGCACCTTTTTTCAATATACTCCCGGCCTCATTTTTTACGTCCTAGTATAAAATTAGCTCCACCTATCACAAAATTACAAACAGTTAAATCAGGACTCCATGGTATGTGTGTAAAAATTTATAATAAAATTCCCAAATGTCTACAAAAAGAAGAATCGTGGTATAAATTTCAAAGAGAGCTTAAAAAATATTTAATTGAAAAAAAGTTTCTATTCGTTGTCAGAGTTTTTCGGTGAAAAATAATAATTGTTTATTTTGAATATGTATACCTACCTCTTTAATATCGTTGTAAATATTGCAAATGTTTATTTAACCTAAAAGTAATGTAGTAGTTTAAGTAAGTAGTTTAAGTAAATAAAATAAAATTAGTCTTTTTAAATTAATAAGAATAAATTGATATATAACATAATATAATATAATATTGCTACGCCCTATCAGGGCTCATGTTTGGCTCTAATATATCCAACTTAAGAACTATTTATGTAACCACATGAACGCAATAAAATGTTTGAGTTTGAGTTTGAGGAATAAATGACGATGTCGTCTAAATAAACGAAGCATCGTGAACCTTGAAGTCCTGATAGGCAAGTGTGATAGGCAATTCATGAGTTTCTGGAAGGTGGACGGAGAATTTTTTAATCCAAAGGGCATGCTATTGAATTGGAAATGCCCTTGAGGTACAGAAAATGTCGTTTTAGATACATCTTCAGATTTGATTAGCAACTGATGAATCCCGGAAGCTAAGTCCAAGGTTGAGAAATATTTGCTGTTGCCCAGCTGGTCTAGGATTTCAGAAATTTGTGGAATAGGATAATTTTCACCAATGGTAATATCATTATAATAATAATAATAATAATATTGGTCCTCCATGTTGAGAGGGGAAGGGTTGCTAACTCTGAGGGCATAGATTTATCTATGCCCTCAGAGTTAGCAACAAAAGGGGACCCTTTCTGAGGCTGAAACATACCGATACCTGGGTATGTCACAGAACATCGGTATCGATGAGGCTGGTGTGAAACAGTCAGTTTGCGACGTGTTTTATGCACGCTTGACCAAAGTGCTTAATAGCCTTTTGTCCGGTGTGAATAAGACACACGCATATAACGGTTGGGTCATGCCTGTCCTTATGTATACCTTTGGCATACTCAGGTGGACTCAGACTGAACTTAACGCCCTGGATATAAAAGTCCGCACTACCATGACGTCCCATAGGATGCATCATCCGAGATCGTCGGTAATGAGGCTGTACTTGCCGCGAAAGCATGGTGGGCGTGGCTTTCTGAGCGCGCTCACTATGCATAATCGTGAAGTGTGCAGCCTCCGTCATTACTTCCTGGCGAGATCGGATGATCCATTCTATAATGACGTCATTTCTAGTGATAAAGGGCTTACCCCTCTATCCTTGGCCAACGAGCAATGGCAGGACCCAGCAGTGCTTAGCACTTCCAACCGAGAGACCGAATGGAAGGAGAAGGAGCTCCACGGGAGGTACTACAGGGCTCTACATGAGCCCTTCGTAGATACAGTCGCCTCCCTCAACTGGCTACGTTTCGGTGACCTCTTCGGGGAGACCGAGGGTTTTGTCTGTGCAATACAGAATCAGGTTATTATGACCAACAACTATCGGAGATACATCCTAAAGGATGGCACCGTCGACGTCTGTCGAGCTTGTCGCCATCCCGGGGAGTCACTTAGGCATGTCATCTCCGGTTGTTCGGCGCTTTCTAACTCTGAGTACTTGCACAGGCACAACCTAGTAGCCAGAATTCTACACCAGGAGCTCGCTCTGAAATACGGTCTCGTGGACCGGAAATTGCCGTATTACAAGTACTTGCCGGAAGCCGTGCTCGAAAATGACCGCGCCAGGCTCTACTGGGACCGGGCCATCATCACAGACAGGACTATTCTTGCAAATAAGCCTGATATTGTGCTGATGGACCGGGCACAGTCAAGGATATTTTTGGTCGACATTACCATTCCGTATGACGAGAACCTCGTGAAAGCCGAAACAGATAAACAAACAAAATATCTGGACCTGGCTCACGAGGTGACCGACATGTGGGGTGGTTGGCCGACCGAAATTATTCCTGTAGTCGTCTCTGCGAATGGGTTAATCCCAGTCAGCCTCTCGGGTCATCTGAGGCGACTGGGACTCCGTGACGGACCGCTCCGGGCTCAAATGCAGAAGGCAGTGGTCCTCGATACCACTCGCATCGTCCGTCGGTTTCTTTCCCTTTCCCCCTAACCCTCGGCCGTTTGGTCTCCCCTGCCGAGGGCTTCCATCTGGTTGGATCTTTATTTATTTGTGTATTTTTTGTATTTATTTTATTTTATTGATATTTATGTATATTTATCTTTTCATTTTAATTTATAATTATATATTTATAGAAACCAACCAGATGAGAAAACTATACAGATACCCCAAATATAATAATAATAATAAAAAGGCGTAGGGAAGTGACGACCCCATCGCCCGCTGACGTAACGGTTATGTGACAAAACCGGTACGTCTGCGCAGTCAGTCAGCACCTTGCCGAGAGGTGTTAGTGCCGTGCCTCGGCAAAAATTGAAGGTACAAAGGCCCGCTTGTGCACATGGCCTCACCATGAAACGGCGCCGGGTCTGGGCGTCTCCCGCTAAATGACACCCACCACTATGGATGATGGAATACGGAAGAACGCGCAAAGGGCCGCTGCCTGGAGGTCGCCGGGGCGCGTCTGGAGCTGGCGCTGGACGCGACAGCATGCGAACCGCCAACCGAGCGCGAGGTGCTGCACGAACACCCAGCAGTCTCTCGCATCCATCATCCCCACCAGCTGGTTTGGTGTCGGCAGGGTCTTCGCGGGCCCAGCAATCGGCACCCGCCACTGGTGGAGTACGCCGCATGCGTTGGACAACCCAGATGAACAGCAACGCATTGCGGGCGTATTTTAGGGCGAAAGGGGGAGAAACTGGAGGTTTTGCGTATCGGCAAGGACATCGACCTAGCTGGGCCATCTGTAACCGTCACCGAGCAAAACCTGGCAGACCGAGTTCGGTATATCTTGCGCTCAAATACATTTGATGTCACCGAACTCGAACGGCTACGACGTGAGGCTGTTCCTTCTTCGGGTGAAAATGCTGCGGCTGAGGATGCGGCGCCACAACTTGCTGAGCAAACGGCAAATGTGGATGCCGCCGTGAATACGCCAGTTGTGGTTGATTCAAACGATGACGGAACAGTCGCCCAGGAACTGGAACTAGAGCAAATGAGGAGTACATTGGAGGAGGCGATTGTGGAAACGCGCAGTACGCCTCTCGAAAATCGACCGCGACTTCCCCGCTTAGCCCTAAGCAATCGGAATCGGGCTGTCGTGAGGGCTCTGAACCCAATGCTGGTTACCTACTTGGAAGCCAGCCGGGACCTTTGCGAGACGGACTCAATTCTTTTTGGCGCCGAACTGGCAGTCTGCCGTATTATAGGCGCCAAACTTTCCACGGCTGGACGCGCTACTGGACAAAGTAGTGCTATCCCAGCCTTTTTTTTTTAACATGGGGAAATGCCTACGCATACCCGCCTCGCGGGGGCAAGGACGGGTTATGTCGGAGTCGCACCGACTAAAACCCCATGGTGTTCCACCTTCGTCGCATATTGGCAGGGCTACGGGAACGCTTTCGCATACATCCGCGGCCCCACCAGCGACTGCCGCCCCATGGCAGCACCTCATCGGGAGAGGAATACTCCTCCCCGTTCTCCCTTCCAAGCACGGCGCACCAGAACACATGGCACGCCTTCCTCCACGGCCTCCAATTACATCCGCGCAACAGACGCCCCCGCGTCGATGCGCGAATGCCATGGGGCCAGGAAAAACGAGCACCTAGAAGTACTAGCCTTCCCGACCCCAGCGGCGGATCTGGTCTATGGCTCCGCCGCCAACCAAGATTCGGCTGCGGAGGATAGGGAGAGCGGCGCCTCGCAATACCGACAATCCTCTCCCCCCGCAGCCCCATCACCACCGCATCTACGGTGCGGCCCCGTTTGAGTCGCGGAGGATAGGGCGAGTGGCGCATCGCCATACCAACACTCCTCTTCCTCCGCGACTCCACCTCGGCTGCAGCGGTAGGTGGGGAGGACACACCTCTCACCGCAGTCCACCAACACACATCCGAAGTGGGCTTCCCCAAGCCCACTCGGAGTGGCCACCTCGGGCCGGCCCTCCACCTCGGTGTGTTAATACATCTAATTACCATCTCTACGCGGATGACTTACAGCTTTATCGTCATTTTCCGGTGGGTGATACAAATAATGCAATTGCAGCTATGAATGCGGATCTGGGCCGCATCTGTGAATGGTCTGCATCCTTCGGACTATTAGTTAATCCCACGAAATCTCAGGCCATCATAATAGGCAGTAGGCATTAGCGTGATAGATTAGAATTTACATCACTACCTTTTGTTTGTTTTAATGGCGTTCCTATACCCTTTGCCAATACTGTCAAAAACTTAGGCGTCATATTTGATCACCATTTAACATGGACCACGCATATCGCTGAAGTTAGTCGCGAGGTCTACTTTACTTTGCATTCGCTTAAATGTCTACAAAATTTTTTACCCCTTAAAGCTAAAATATCACTCGTGCTTACTCTTATCCTACCTCTCCTTGATTATGCGGATGCCTGTTATCTGGATGCTACAGAGGAGCTTCTTAATAAACTTGAGCGCTTGCAAAATCAGTGTATCCGTTTCATATTTGGGCTCAAAAAATTTGACCGTATATCTCAGTTTCGTAAGCAACTCAAGTGGCTTCCAATTCGACTTCGAAGGAACACTCGATTGTGTCCTCTATAACATTTTGCACAACCCTTCCTCTCCCACATACCTCAGAAGCCGATTTTCCTTCACCCATCCTCCGGACAAACCATGCAGAGTCCTTGTTAAAAATCTTCTTGACTTTCCCGTCTTTAATTCCGGTTATTACTCCCACTCCTTTTCAGTTCACGCGGTAAGATTATGGAACTCACTACCGTCAAATATAAGAAATTCCGAAACTTTGTTGATATTCAAGAAACGTCTTAGAGATAACTACTTTGCATCCTGTTAATTTAATATATATATATATATATATATATATATATATATATATATATATATATATATATATATATATATATATATATATATATATATATATATATATCATATGTAACTATCGTATCTATTATTATTATTATTTATTGATTTATTTTATTTTTATTTATTGTTTTATTTTATATAATTTCCGTAACATTGTGTATATTATTTGTTTTTAGTAGTACTAATGTATGCACTAAGTTTGCAATTTAAATATAATTTCCTTTATGGGTCTACTGGAAGATATTTCAGCGAATTTGGAATAAGTAGAACCTTTGTACGTAATTACTATAAGACTGTTTCTGTATCTTAATGTGTGTACATAAATTAAAACTCGGACCAGCCATATGGGTTCCTCTTTGTTTCGCCGTGGGTGACCAAGCCACGGCTTCTAAGCCCCCCGCCACGACAAGGCGAGAACCCGTTCGGGGGGGGTGCTATCCCAGCCTGGAGAATAAGAATTGAAGAACATATCGCAAGGGCTAGGGCCCACATCGGCAGACTGATATGCTTCAGGTCAGGCAATACCAGGCCAAGGATTGTGCGCACCGTCAGGATGGCATTTGCTGGGACAACTGTTAGTTTGTCCCAGCCGGATATAACGCAAAAACTGACGGAGCGCATAGACGACCTGAAGCAAAGAATCGCTGCTTGGAGAAAGCGGATTCGGCGATATACCGAGAGGTCGACACGGTTCAACCAGAATCGTCTCTTCTAGAGTGATCAGAAGAGGCTCTATAAATCATTGGAGCGACCAATAGTAAGTGGAACGGGCCCAGCACCAAATCAGGCCGACACGGTTGCATTCTGGCGCAGCCTGTGGTCAGAGCCCGTAAACCACAACGAGGGCCCTTGGACGGAAGTTGTAGCGAGTCAGTGCGCGGGTATTATGCCCATGGACCCCGTCATCATAACGCCGGATGACGTAGCTGAGGCGGTCCGTAGGGCCCCGAACTGGAAAAGTCCGGGGCTTGACGGGCTGCATCACTACTGGCTGAAGGGGTTCATGGTGTGACACGCTGTGCTCGCCCGACAGTTTCAAGAGTCTCTCAACCAGAAGTCGCTCCCAAGCCTCTTCACTACTAGGATCACTCATTTGGTTCCTAAAGATCAGGGTGCCACAGACCCGAGCAATTACCGCCCCATCACGTGTCTACCGACTATATACAAGACACTAACATCCATTTTGAGCGCGAGAATCGCTCGTCACCTGGACTCAAATCAGGTGATGTCGCGCGCTCAAAATGGATGTCGGGACGGCGGTCGTGGAACCAAGGAACCACTCCTCATTGAAACGCAACCGTCGGAACTTCTCCGCCGCCTGGATAGACTACAGAAAGGCGTTCGACTCGGTGCCCCATACATGGCTAAAGAGGGTCCTCGAGCTGTACAAGATTGACTGTACAGTTAGAGACTTCCTCGAGCAGTGTATGGGGCAGTGGAGTACGATCCTTTGTCATCTGGGCGAGCGGATGACGGCTGCGGAGAACCACATAAGGATAAGAAGGGGTATCTTTCAGGGCGACTGTCTGAATCCAATCTGGTTCTGCCTCTCTTTGAACCCTCTCAGTACTTTACTGGAGGGCTCCGGGAGGGGATTTCAGCTTCGGAAGTGAGGTACAAAAGTGACCCACCTTTTCTATATGGATGACCTCAAATTATTCGCCTCCAGTCGCTCCTATCTTATGGAATTGCTAAACATCACTTGTGAATTTAGCAATTCTATTGGAATGGAGCTGGGGACGGATAAGTGTGCGGTCCTCCATGTTGAAAGGGGAAGTGTTGCTAACTCTGAGAGCATAGACTTGTCTATGCCCGTCAAATTAGGGGCCCTTTCCGAGGCTGAAACATACCGATACCTGGGTATGTCACAGAACATCGGTATCGATGAGGCTGGTATGAAACAGTCAGTTTGCGACGTGTTTTATGCACGCTTGACCAAAATGCTTAACAGCCTTTTGTCCGGTGTGAATAAGACGCATGCATATAACGGTTGGGTCATGCCTGTCCTCATGTATACCTTTGGCATACTCAGGTGGAGTCAGACTGAACTTAACGCCCTGGATAGAAAAGTCCGCACTACATGACGTCCCATAGGATGCATCATCCGAGATCGTCGGTAATGAGGCTGTACTTGCCGCGAAAGCATGGTGGGCGTGGCTTCCTGAGCGCACTCACCATGCATAATCGCGAAGTGTGCAGCCTCCGTCAATACTTCCTGGCGAGATCGGATGATCCATTCTATAATGACGTCATTTCTAGTGATAAAGGGACTTACCCCTCTATCCTTAGCCAACGAACAATGGCAGGACCCGGCAGTACTGAGCATTTGCTTAGCTTCCGACCGGGAGACCATATGGAAGGATAAGGAGCTCCATCGGGAGGTACTACAGGGCTCTACATGAGCCCTTCACGTAGATACAGCCGCCTCCCTCAACTGGCTACGTTTCGGTGACCTCTTCGGGGAAACCGAGGGTTTTGTCTGTGCAATACAGGATCAGGTTATTAAGGCCAACAACTATCGGAGATACGTCCTAAAGGATGGCACTGTCGACGTCTGTCGAGCTTGTCGCCATCCCGGGGAGTCACTTAGGCATGTCATCTCCGGTTGTTCGGCGCTTTCTAACGCTGAGTACTTGCACAGGCACAACCTAGTAGCCAGAATTCTACACCAGGAGCTCGCTCTGAAATACGGTCTCGTGGACCGGAAATTGCCGTATTACAAGTACTTGCCGGAAGCCGTGCTCGAAAATGACCGTGCCAGGCTCTACTGGGACCGGGCCATCGTCACAGACAGGACTATTCTTGCGAATAAGCCTGATATTGTGCTGATCGACCGGGCACAGTCAAGGATATTTTTGATCGACATTACCATTTCGTATGACGAGAACCTCGTGAAAGCCGAAACAGATAAACAAACAAAATATCTGGACCTGGCTCACGAGGTGACCGACATGTGGGGTGGTGTGTCGACCGAAATTATTCCTGTAGTCGTCTCTGCGAATGGGCTAATCCCAGTCAGCCTCTCGGGTCATCTGAGGCGACTGCCGGGCTCAAATGCAGAAGGCGGTGCTCCTCGACGCCGCCCGCATCGTCCGCCGGTTTCTTTTCCCTTTCCCCCTAACCCTCGGCCGTCTGGTCTCCCCTGCCGAGGGCTCCCATCTGCCGGGCTAGCATGGGCGGGGGGACAATATACCCCCGGGGGAGAGGATATAATTTTTATCCCTTGCTTAATTTTATCCACCCTGCGAGCATGGGCAAGAGACAAAAATTATATCCCCCGATTATATCCACTGACAAGAGATAAAATTGTCTTATCTCTATAGTATATCCCCGTTTGACATAACGAGTGGACATATATCTCCCCGTCCGTAGCATGAGGCCAAGGGAAAGAGAAAAAATTATCCCTTTTTTGACATTTGAAAGGGACAATTTTATCCTCTTTTGCGGACGTGGGTTTAAGTTTATCTTCAAACCATTTTAATACGAAAAAAGATGTCTCGAGCCTATTGCAACTACATTTTCGTGTCAGAAATTGAAAAACAAGAAAGAAAATTACACCAACGATCGATACGTGATCAGAATAATTAATCTATTGGAATTCTCCGACAACGAATTTCTACGCCGGTTTCGGATGCTCAAAGATTGTTTTGTATTTGTGTAAAGAACTCTATGAGGCTTTAAAGCCTATTAATTCTGTGGATGGACTACCAGTGCATATTGAAGTAAGCATCTATTACAACCACCTTGTCCAAAAACATCGTATATTTGCAATCAATACATGTGGCTTATGTAACTTATCTTAATATTTTTTCTAGGTAGGTAGTTTACATCTTTCAGTTTCTTGGCAGATGGTAGTTACCAGAGAGGTACGAGTCAAGACCATGGCATGGCTGTTGTTCAAACAACAAATGATCAGCAAATACTTGACCGAAGTTATTGGGGCCATCATTAGAATGTGGGGAGCAATATACTTTAATTAACCTCTTGTGTAGGTAAATACAAGTTTAAAGACTAATATACACAATATTAGGAATACAAATAATACAATACTCATGATTATAAAATTATTTATTCCTTGTTTTGTTTGAAATCATTACATTTTTATTCTTCATGCTTCATCATTTTCAATTAAAATTAAATCTTTGTGACTTAGAGTAGACATCAATTTTGATGTATTTTGTAATTTTCTTATAATGGCAGTAATTGCGGGGATAAGTTTTTTTTAAATTTCCTCAAGAGGTTACACCACCTCCAAAGGGTCTGTATTGTCCAGTTTCGCAATTGGCTTAATTCTCGACACATATTTTTTTTAATAAATGCTATCACAAGCGAAGTAATACCTGCGATTTGATACAAGCAATGTATACTTAACTTAAATATTATACAAAATAAAATAAAGAAATAATTAGAATAATAGAAAAAATAAAAACAAGGCAGAAATACGCTTAAAATAAATATAACAAATATTATAAATGACATATTGTTTAACAAAAATCATTAACAGTTTAGCAATATAATAAACAAAAGGTAAAAGAAAATATAAGTTAATGTAAATCTACATAATCTTAAAAGAAGTTTATAGCTATTATAGTTTATAGCTTTATACTATCGTACAAAGATGTTTTTTAAAACGTCTTTGCTATCGTATATTATCTATGCGCGGGGATAAGTTTATCTACTGTCGATATTATATCCACCATAGGCCCATGCTCGCAGGGTGGATAAAGCTTTGACATAGGGATAAGACAATTTTATCCCTTGTCAGTGGATATAATCGGTGGATAAAATTTTTATCCCCTGCTCATGCTAGCCCGGCTGGTTGGATCTTATTTATTTATGTAGTTTTTGTATTTATTTTATTTTATTGATATATATGTACATTTATCTTTTCATTTTAATTTATAATTATATATTTATAGAACCCAACCAGGTGAGAAAATTATATAGATACCCCAATAATAATAAAAAAGGCGTAGGGAAGTGACGACCCCATCGCCCGTTGACGTAACAGTTATGTGACAAAACTGCGACGTCGGCGCAGTCAGTCAGCATCCTGCCAAGAGGTGTGAGCGCCGTGTCCAGGCAAAATTGTAGATGCAAAGGTCCGTGAGTGCATATGACGCAACCACGAAACGGTGCCGGGCTTGGGCGTCTCCCGTTATTTGGCGCCACATAAAATGGATAATGGAAGAAACACAGAAGGGAACGCGCATAGGGCCGCTGCCTGGGGGTCGCCGGGGCGCGTCTTGAGCTGGCGCTGGACGCGGCAGTATGCGGGCCGCCAGCCGAGCGCGAGGAGCTGCACGATCACCTAGCAGCCCCTCGCATCCATCATCCCCACCAGAAGGCTTGGTGTCGGCTGGGTCTTCTCGGACCCAGCAAGCGGCACCCGCCGCTGGTGGAGCACGTCGCATGCGTTGGACAAAATCCATGAACGAAAACGCATTGCGGGCGTACTATAGGACGAAAGGGGAAGAAACTGTGGGAGTAGGGTATAGGTCTCGGATGCATTGCTTTTTTGCTGCGCTGGAGCCGTCTATCCCCGTCACGGAACAAAACCTGGCAGACCGAGTTCGGTACATCATGTGCTTTAAAATATTTGATGATGCCGAACTCGAACGACTACGACGTGAGGCTATTCCGTCGTCGAATGGATCGGCTATGGCTGGAGATGCAGCTCCACATTCGACAGACCAGCATCCACACGTGGAAGCCGCCATGGATCTTCCAGTTATGGTTGATTCGAACGACGATGAAATAGTCTCCCACGAACTAGGGCAAATGAGGAGTATATTGGAAGAGGCGATTTTGGAAACGCGCAACACCCCTCTCGAAAATCGACCGCGACTTCCCCGCATACCCCTAAGCAAGCGAAATCGGGCTGTCGTGAGGGCTCTTAACCCAATGCTGGTGACCTATTTGGAAGCCAGCCGGGACCTTTGCGAGACGGACTCGATTCTCTTTGGCGCCGCAGTGGCAGTTTGCCGTATTATTGGCGCCAAACTTCCCATGGCTGGACGCGCTACTACACAAATTAGCGCCATCCCAGCCTGGAGAAAAAGAATCGAGGACCGTATCGCAAAGGCAAGGGCCCTTATCGGCAGACTGACAAGCTTCAGGTTTGGTAATAATAGACCGAGGATTATGCGCACCGTTAGGATGGCGTTTGAAAAAAAGAAAGAAAGAAAGAAAAAACATTTATTCACGGTCTAATCATAATAGATACAAAACAAAGCAAGAAATTGGAATTAAACAGAAAATAAAACAATATTTCCATAAATTAACAAAAATGTATAAAAATAATATAAAATGAGTCTGTGTAGCAGCATAAGACCGTGAAATGGACAGGACTCAGTAAAAATCGAGATACAGAAACACGAATTGCTCTGATCCCGACACTGGTTTTCAGTCCGGCCCGCACTCCGACGTAACTCGGACGGCTGCCTCAATGCACATGCTATAATGCGACGCGGAATATATAAAAAAAAATATATGTTTTTAAATTTTAATTCACATAAATAGTGGATATCATTAGTCTAATGAAGGTAAGTACAAAATAGAATTAACGTTTTCCTTCTAAATATATCAATTTTATTTATTAAGAAAGCGGAATAAACGGTGGCTAAAGAATAAAGGTAAGAAAATGATTGTCAGAAAAAGTAAATTTATTATATAAATATTTAAATAAAATAGTTTTATATATTATATAAAGTGAAAATTAAAAATATCTATATAATTTATGGGACTGAGATTACTGACGTGTTGAAAGAACTTAACCTCCTACCAGTTTATTTTATAGATCGGTATTTTTTTGTTCCGAAAGTAAGTGTAACCTGTATTTGATTTTAAACCCACTAATTGTTTTCAGGTCACGCAGTGGAGGCGGGAGGTTATTCCAACATTTAGTGGCATTATATTTAAAACTACCTCTGAAAGCGGCCGACCGGTAGAAAGGATATACTAACTTGTAATTGGATGATCTGGTATTATACTGCTTATTTTGATCTTTAGACCAAATCAACTTATTATATAAATATAAAGGTTCTTTATTTTTAATAACTCCAAACAAAAGTGAGGCAAAGTGTAGTCGCCTGCGACAGTCCATTTTTAAAATATTAGCGTTATTAATGAAAGGGGTTACATGTGCACGTGGTGGTACATTGAAACAAAAGCGTGCACAGGCATTCTGTACCCGCTGTATTATTTGCTGTGTTCGAGATAATAGTCGTGGGCCTATGAGAGAATCCGCGTAATTGAATTTTGAAAGCACGATAGACTCGCAGAGATGTGTACGTAAGGTGACACTTAGGTATTCGCGAATACGGTAAAGTACTTTCAACCTATAAAAGCAGTTACGTGCAATATCCATTATATGTTTCTCAAAACGAAGTTTGTCGTCCATTATTACCCCCAAATTTCTGACTTCAGTGACTCTCACAATAGGTTCGTTGTTTACAATAATGGCAGGGTGGCTTAGTGTGATCTTTTTTATTTGATTTGGCGATCCTAAAATAAGGTACTGCGACTTTTTTGGATTGAGAACCAATGCGTTACGCTCTGACCACAAAGATATCCGACCCAAATCCAAGTTCAATTTTGTCACTGCTACTTGAACATCACAAGGCTTAAACGATATATATATCTGTAAGTCGTCAGCGTACATGTGGTACTTACAATACTCTATATTTTTAATAATGTCTGCACTATATATTATAAAAAGTAAGGGACCTAAAATGGATCCTTGCGGTACTCCTCGGTTCACAGGGCGCTCCCCAGAAATAGCTTTACCTTTTCCATTTAATTGTATTTCAACTTGCTGTGACCTATTTTTAAAGTAACTGGCAAACCATTGGGTTGCGTTTCTGCTTTAACCATAAAAATATAATTTTTAAAGAAGTAATGGGATATTGAGGGTTTCAAAGGCGCGCGAGAAATCAAGTAATGTTAAAATAGTACCCTCACCACTGTCTTGTGCAGTCAGTATATCATCCACGACCTCTATAAGCGCTGTGGTAGTGCTGTGCTTCTTTCTAAAGCCAGACTGCAGCTCAGGAAGGATGTTATTTGCTTCAAGGTACTTTATTAGCTGATTACATGCAAGCTTTTCTATTATTTTAGAAAGGCACGGTAGAATACTAATTGGCCTGAGATCCGACATACAAACAGGGTTACTAGTTTTTGGTATAGGTTTAACGATGGCTTTTTGCCAGAGATCCGGATAGGTATTTGTCGCAAAAGATTTATTAATTATGTATGTTATTTCTGTAATAACATCTTTAGGTAATAACTTTAACATATCAAGAGAAATGCCATCGCACCCCACTGCATTAGACTGCAAAGAGTTTATAATTTTAACCACCTCATCCTCCGAGGCTTCTTTAAAATAAAAAGAGTTATCATTAGTGCCATTAAATTCAAAGAAAGTGAGAAGAGACAATGAGACGTCATTTTTACCAGGAATATTAAGAAAATGATTGTTTAAAGCATCAGGGTCACTGAAATGGGATGGCAAAGAAGTATCCTTACTTTTTATTTGAACTTGGCGTTTAATGTGCTTCCACATTATTTTAGGTTGATTTAGTTTTGAATTAATATAAAATTTGAAGTAGGCAATCTTTTCTGAAACTATCGCTTTATTAACTATTGATTTTAGTTCCCTATAATAATTCTTATGTGGAATAAGTTTTGTTTTCCGGGCTCTCACTTGAGCCTCGTTGCGCGTCCTCATCATACATCTTATGTTATGCGTTATCCATGGATAATATTTTTTTATATAGACAATTTTAGGAGGGGCGAGAATTAAAGATATTTAATAAATTTTTGTTAAAAGAATCAATCATATCGTTTATGTTATCTGACGATGCACAGTGCCAGTTAATTTGTTTTAATCTTGGTTGAAAAGTTATGTCCATATCCCTTAAAGGTTTATACGTGAAAGCGTCACGTCAGGCTGAAACATAGGCTTGGGAATGTCAAGTTCACCTACAATAAAGGCATGACTACTGAGGTCACTAATATAGTCCACACTTATATATGGCACCGATGCATCTGAACATATAACATCTAACAGTGTCTCACTATATTCAGTAAAGTGTGTTGGTTCCTCAACATATTGCACGAGGTTATTGCATGTTAGGAAGTCCGAAAGCATTTTGGTACTAACACAATTTTTATTTAAAATGTCGATATTAAAATCCCCAAGCAGTACTGTTTGATCGTAGCCTACAAAAGAACCTAAGGACTCGCTCAGCGCGTCCAGAAATAATGTCACGCTCAACCATGGGGGACGATAAGCAGTACCAAAGACAAGGGACTTGCCGTTAATTTTAATATTTAACCACATCTGCTCCACCGCGGGACAAATAGGATGTTGAATAATCTTTGACGACAAGCCCCGTCTCAAATAAAAACCCACACCGCCGCCACGCGCACGAACTTCGGGAGGTCGGGGTACGTGAAGCAGTCGATACCCTGGGACAGAAGGCGCCCGGCCTTCCTCCCCTGTCCGAAGCCATGTTTCATTGATAGCCATTATGTCTACAGAGTGATGCGCCATAGCAGCTAGGAATTCGTCGTGCCTAGTACCAAGGGACCCGGGGTTCAAGAAGCCAATTTTCAACTTATTTAATTTAGTCATTTTCAAAGAATTTATAATAATACGAAAACGTTATAAAATTAATAATAACCCAAACAAAACCATAATAAAGGAGACTATGATACCACTGCTTATGTACTGTCAAATACATTTCTATGTAAGGGCCACAGTTATAAGTTATAAATAAACATAATTGATTTCCGAATATATTATCCGACAATATCCTGTCGCCATTTCCCGTTATGCTGCTACACGTTAAAAAGCAAACATTAAACCTGTCACAATATTCACTATAACAAAAGACAAAGAATAAATGTGATAATATTAAAAGTGTAACTACAAAATAACAGACAAAAAATTTACTCCATACTCCATAAACGTATGCAAAGCAACTTAACAAAAATAAAATGTAACCTAATAATAAAATGGAAATAAAATGTAGTCTAAATAAAAATAAAAATAAAATGTTCTCGTAATAGCAGCTACGTAGATGCATAGGGGAAACAATCATTGAGAAATAATTATAATCCAGACGACAGCCAAATCGACATCGTGCAAGAAGTAACGTAAAGAACAAGATTAAAATTCGCTTCAAACTATTCAATCCCCAAAAATTTTGTTTATATCTATTTCTGTTCGAATTCTATAACGGGGTGAGCCACAATCACGACGCACAAAAATGCATCCTTCCCGCGTCCACACATATCTCCAGCCTTTGCGGCGCCCTTCTTCCCGTGCTTTATAAAATAATTGCCTATTGATTGAGGTGAGCCGCTCATTAACATAACATCGGCGCGGCTCGCCACCTAAGTTCAAACCGGCAGTATCCGCCCCCCCGCCGAACGCGCGCTTCGTGAATTAGTTTGTCTCGAATCACTGGACGAGCGAGACGGACAACTAACGGACGCAGCCTCCGCTTGTCACCGCTGCATGGTATTTCCTCGCGGCGCATGCCTATACGCCTTGCACTTACAACATCGCGCTCATCCAATTCAGTGCCAATTTTAGCCGCAAGCATAGTGACGAGGTGCACGGGGTTTTCGCCCTTCTGTTCTATTACACCAGATATTTCCAGATCGTTTAAAAGTAATTCTTGATCACGCTCGTTAAGTCGACACTTTAACTCCGCTATGCTATCTTCGACCTTGGACGCTCCGGGTTGACTCGGCAAGTCCGTTGCCTGCTGCTCAAGACATGCGATCCTTTTCTCGACGTCACTAACCCTGTTACTTATTTCACTAACATTAGAATTAATGTTAGTGATTTCCTGGCGAAAATATACCATTTCGCGGGCAATAGTAGTCAACTGCTCGCGTATTAATTTTAGCTCGTTTGCTAAGTCTACATTAGTTTCACAGCGCCCTCCATCGTCGGATCCAAGCTGTGCATCGCCGAACTCTGTGTCCGTGCCGCCCGAGCTACACGAACTGGGCGTAGCAATTGTGTTCACCCCACTCGCACATACATTTTTTGCCTTACAACCGCTGCATTGCCATTTATTTGATATTCGGCCGTCAATAGGAATACTAGCACATTTGCGATGAAATAAATGAGTACAATTTGAGCACTTTATCGAGTCAATTGTAGAAGCAAAACGACCACAGGCGCCGCACTTGTT